TCAGTACAAATCTAGAGCAATAAATATTTATTATTATTTATTAATTTATTATGCAGTATTACATTAGAACATGCATATACCCACTACAAAACTGTACATCTTGTTTCAACGTTAAAAAATTTCTTTTAAGGGTTCATCAGGTTAGCATCGTGATCTTCCACCTGATGAAACGTTAAAAGAAATTTTTAACGTTGAAACAAGATCTACAGTTTTGTAGTGGGTATATGCATGTTCTAATGTAACACTGCATAATATATATATATATATATATATATATATATATATATATATAGTATGTCTTTGATTTCAGCTTATTCTTCCTAACCATTGTCATATGCCCTAGTCGACGAATGGGTTTATAAGGCGATCATACGCCGACCAGAAGATATATACATTATCACACCTGTGGAGAGATACAGGCTATCTCTCTCAGATCATGACAATGGACAATTAGTAAACAAAAAAATATTTTAAAGAACCCTGTACGATTAGGATAATCGAACAGTAATCTTTTCCCAGGTTCGCTTCGGTTTCAACACGAATACTGATCCACAATTCAAGGATGAACGATAAGGCGTAGTGAATTTTCACATAAGAACTTTAATATGTACAGATATACAAAATATTAAAATAAAAGAAAATATAAGCATGAGTAAAACATCCGACGACCAGATCTCAAGACTTATGTTGGGATATCAAAATTCGCCTAACTCCAAATGGATTCGACTGAACCCGAACGGATAAAAAAATATAAGTATGAATAACTACGAATGCAGAAATCAACACATAACCAAAAGAGATGGGATAGGAGTTACATATTATTATTTTGACATGTGGAAAGGTGTTTATAAGAACATAATATTTATGGATGCATGTGTATCTTTCTAACACGGGTCCAAAATATATGATTACTTATCTTTATATTCAGTTCTCTTTTTTTATCATTGTCCTTTCTTTTCTCTTTCATGTTTCCTCTTTTCTTTCCCTTTTTTTCTTCTTGACACAAATACGATTTCACACACTGTCCGGCTGTAACAGAGACATACACTTTCTTCCTCTCTCTGGTTTTCTTTTTTCTTTTCTTCTTCTGTATACAGTTCAGTTTCAAACACGATTCAACTGCAACAGGGATATACACTTTCTTCCTCTCTCTGTTTTTCTTCTTTCTTTCTTTACACAATTCAGCTTGTAACATAGATATATACTTTCTTCCTCTCTGGTTTTCTCTTTTCTTCAAACACAGTTTGTATTCTCAGCGTACAAATTCCTTTGCGTCTTCTGTGATAAATAACGCAGGTTATCGTCTTCAATTTGGGGTGATCGAACAGAAATACATGTTCTTATATTTCTCGTCCGGAGTTGCCTGGGATGAATCGGACAAGTTCCATCATTATCAAATGAGTCTCATCTTTCCGTTCATAAGTTATCAGCGCTTCGATTTCGAGTCTTGCTCCTTCAAAGACAAGACAGCAACTGACTCCCAAGTAATTTTCTAACTCTCACGTGTCCTGCGTTTTGGCGCGAATTCCAGCTTACATCAGTCCCTTCTCTAGATTCTGTCTAGACATCTGTTGCTACGGGTAATTGGATCAGTCAACCTCTTGACTTGCTTTCCCAAAATGTCTCAAGACTTCCACGTGACCTCTTCTGTTGTCAGGCGGAGATTAACCTTAATATATGCGTGTATGCGTGTTTGGGCTATCTGCGTCCGTCACACCATATTTTTATATTCCATAGTTTATACTACGTATTTCTGGTGCGTTTTCACAAAGATTAACATAGAAATTTATCAAAGAACCTATTGAATGAACAAAACTTCTTATGGATGAACGTTTTGAGGAGGTGGCGGAAGTGGAATTGGCTGTGACTAGGACCCTAGACATCTTTCCTTTGAAGGACTATGGTGAGGCTTTCAAGAAATGACTGTATCACTACAACAAGAGCGCTGAAGTTCGAAGTTTTTTTTTTTTACTCCGAAGGAGATTAGGGATTTGTATAGTTTGGAAATAAATCAAAGTCTGCTGAATAATTCTCAAAACTTCCAGGGTGCATTTTCTATCTTAGCAAATTTTTGTAAAGGTAGGGTAGTGATTACTGGACAATCTCATATAAGATGAAGAGACTTGAAGCAACAGAATTATAAGTCTACAGTGGATTCGAAGAAAAATTTAATTTCGAAGAATAAAAAATTACGACTTGAAGAAAAATCTAGAGCCGAAAAAATGAAGACGTAAAGAAAAGCAAAAATTCCTGCACATGCGCGTGTAAAAGAACGTTAAATTCATAATTCAAGAAACTTCGAAGTCGAGGAAAACAACAAAAAAACTGATATTTAAAAATTAAGTAACTTTTTATATAATAAAATAATCTTCGAAGGAAATTAGGCACATGTATTGTTTTGAAATAAATCAAAGTCTCTCTTGAAAAAAATTCCTAAACTTCTCGAGTGCGTTCTCTATGTTAGCATATTTTTGTAAAGGTATGGCAGTGAATACTGGAAAATCTAGTCTAAGAAAAAGAAGAAACTTGAAGCAACAGAAATTTGGCTCTACTGGAGAATTCTAAGAATACCATAGACTGAACATGTGAGCAACGATGAAGTTTTAGAGAAATGGAATCAGAAGGGACACTTATACTTGACATACAAAAAGAGACAGTTAAATTTTTCTATGGCATATAAATAAAAAATGTATTAAGAGCTACAAAGTACAGGAAAATGCGGAGAGCCTTGATCGTCAACGTCCGGAACGGAAAATGCTAAATAGTATTAACCCTATTAACCCTTGGTTTAAAGGATAGTGAATGGGCGGTCTTCTACTTTTTACACTTAACTTAGTTCCTCAGTGGCCTATATATAAATTTTCTAAAGAAGCATTCGGACTGATTGAAAGCAAGGGCAAAGGAAAACAGCGTGTAACCCACCTAGAGAGCTTCAGTAAATAGACGGCAGAACAGGGTTTAGGAAAAATAACAAAAAGACAAAAATTTACTTAGAGTTACAAAGGACCGGAAATTGTGGAGAGCCATGATCCCCAACGTCCTGAAGGTACACGGCACATAGATAAGAACATAAGAAATCATAAAAAAGTGTATCGCTACACAGCCGCTTAGATTGTCGTGTTATTGGCTGCTCTACGGTAGGTGACTATATGTTTTTAATTCTACACTGTTTACAATATTCGGGCTTTTGTCCTCATCTTTGTTGCCATATTTATCCCAACGCTTCGGTTGATGTAGACTCCAGCCTTCTTCAGGTGGTTGGAATGTCGAACTGAAGCCTTTATTTCGCTCGCTGGGGTAGACTGTTCTAGTTCCACGTGCCATGTCTGATGGATGTCAGTTATCTCCTGTTAATTCCCCTCTCCAAGTCCGAATAATTTAGATAGTGTATATAATACCTCATCTCAGGAATTTAGACAGATATTTTTTTAATTCTATTCAAAATTAATTATATACATAATAACAGAATTAAAGAATGTGAATTCCAAACAACTCGTTATAACCACTATCATATGATATTATTCCAGACTCTTTGACCTTTGCATTGTTAACTTGTAATTTTTTTTCTTTTTTGTTTGTTTTTTTTTTGTTTTTTTGGTCATATAGGAACTCTTTGATAGGAAATCAGAAACACAAAGGAATCTTATCAGACCGGAAGTGTGGCGACTTACCAGAATCGATAAACAGCATCAGGAAGTTGTAAAGTCTGTGGGAAAATAGCGTTGATTATTGGAACGCAATTGATTGATTGGAAAAAGGATAGACGTAGAGACGTTAGCCAAAGAGAAAGAAAAACACGTAGAAGAAGAAGACGAGGGGAAGAAAGGGCAAAGGAAAAAAAAAGAACGAGAAAATGAGAAATAAAAAAAAGGAAAAAAAATAGAAAATAGAACCAGAAAGTGAATAAAGAAACAAAATAGTCGCAGTAGACATACGAAAAAAAGGGGGGGACGTTTTGAAAGAAAATTCGAAGAACGGATGTAGAAAAAATTTGTTAGAAAGCGGGCAGTAGAAGGTTATAGAGAGAGGGTGGGAAAGAGTAAGTGTAGGAAAGAAAGAGGGAATAAAAATAAAGAAAGTAAGGATAACACTGAAAGAAGGGAGTGAAAGAAAGAGAGGGCGATAGCGAGAGAGAGAAAGAGAAAGAGGGAGAAAGTGAAAAACAACACGAAAAAAAGTAGAGAATAAAAGAGAAGAAGCAGAGGGAAGAGAATGAGCAAAAGAAGAGAGAGAGAGAGAGAGAGAGAGAGAGAGAGAGAGAGAGTAAAAAAAAGAAAAAAAAGGGAGAGAATTGCTAAAACGAAACACCAAAAGAGATATATAAAGTGAAATGAAAACGAAAGAGAATGGGTGAGATAGAGACGTAACTAGAGAAGGATTGATTGACTGATTTGATTTGTTTTTTACGACTTATCAACCTTTTGCAGATCATTTTGAAACCAGAAAATATTTTAGACTATAAGAATTATTAACCATAATAACGATTATGACACAAATTTACTGATCCTAGCCGATGGGAAAGAGGTCAAAACATGCCTTTCTCAAAGGTATTTGCGTGTAAGTGAATATAACAAACCCAACTGGAATTGGAACTCGGCACGCCGATTAACAATTCCGAGCCGTTATGCATTACACCACCCGTACATGGGAGCTTGCAGCACCTGGTATTCCGAAGCGGTTACCAATCTAAGTACTGACTAGAACCGACGTTGGTTAACTTCGGTGATAGTAAGACTAACAGTGTTTCAACATCATATGGTCGTAAGCCATGAGAGAAGGAAGAAAAAGAAACAAAAGCACAGGGGTATGAGGAGGAAGAAGTAGAAAACAAAAGGAGGAGAGAAATAAGTGAAAAAGTGGAGAGAATGAGAAAAAGGGGGTAGTAAGATAGAAAATGTGTGAGGGGTAAGAGAGAGAGACAAGCCGTCACTTTGAGAGTTGGTAGCTGGTCTAACGTAGGAAAATACAATGAAACGAAATAGGACGAAAGTAAGAAATAAATGATACAAATAAACAGTTCTTATAACAATGCTCGTGATCATTATAAGAATTCTCTTGAACAGTATAACAATTTTCCTGATCCTTATAACAATTTTTTTGATCATTATAACCATTCTCTTGATCATTATAACCGTTCTCTTGATCATTATAACAGTTCTCTTGATCATTATAACAGTTCTCTTGATCATTATAACAATTTTCCTGATCCTTATAACCACTTTCTTGATCACTATAACAATTTTCCTGATCATTATAACCACTTTCTTGATCATTATAACTATTCTCTTGATCATTATAACAGTTCTCTTGATCATTATAAACGTTCTCTTGATCATTATAACAGTTCTCTTGTTCATTATAATAATTCTCCTGATCATTATAACAATACTCTTGATCATTATAACCGTTCTCTTGTCCATTATAATCATTCTCTTGATCATTATAACAATCATTCTCTTGATCATGATAACAATTTTCTTGATCAGTATAACCGTTCTCTTGTCCATGATAACGATGAAGACGTTGGCTTTTTTGACTAAATCAGCTTGAAGGTTCCAGTTTGAGTTCCAAACAACGCTGCTATAGACAACATCACCGCTCGCTCTCCTTGACACCTTCTAGGCTCTCACGCGCGCCTCTGATTATTTGGAATACGAGTTCAAATTTCGCAGGTGATTACCTTTTTTTATTTAAGTTAATGATTTACATAAAAGTCTAGAATTTGTTCCAGTTTCTGAAATTAATCCTTGTAATTTCTGAACTCGTTTTATCTTCTGTCTCATGAGGCATGCTCTCTTTTCGCGACGTTTAGGTCGGTTAGACATTCTACGACCGTTTATCAAATAGTATGAACCAGAAAATAATGAATTAATTAACAAAATATTAATTTGCGTGCCGCATCCTTGAAAGCCGTCTGACACGAGTTAAATCTTATGTGTTTGACAATTTAAACTAACGAATTCTCGATCAATCATTTCTGCTCCCGAAACGTATCTTAACGTAAACAGTGACAATATATTATGAAGTGGATTAAGTCCGACAATTATTTAATATATTACTTGTTTACACATTATTTTTATAGATACAATTTATCCAAGTCAATGCTCTGATTTTTAATCAAACTGAATGGTTAATATTACATCAGATCAAGTGGCGGTTCACATCAGGGTTACAGGTTCGATTCCTGACTGAGAGCACATAATTTCTACGAAATTTTTCGAGAATTCAAACGGGTAAATGTAATTAATATTGTTTAATTAAAAAAACAGAGCATTTATTTAAATTGATTATATCTAGAAAATAACGTATAAAGTAAGTTATAATTCGATAAGTGGTTAGCATTTATTTAAGTCTGAAATATTTACTGGTTGTGATTTCTAAATGTCTATGCCATTGTCTGTGGATGTATGTATGTGTATATATCGATGTCTATGTGTATGTAGAGTGTATTCACATTTATCTGTGTGTGTATAAGTGTTAGTTTCCACGTCTCCTTTTTTCATAAAGGGCTGTAGAGATGTTCATGTATTCCCCACACCTCTCCTTTTTTTAGTGTGTGTGTATGTTTGTGTGTGTGTGTGTGTATGTGTGTATATGTGTGTGTATATAATTATGTCTGGATGCTTATGTATTATAATCTGATTGTGTTTTTGTTGTGTCACACGTGAGTTTAAGACCATATTCACAAACTTTAAAATAAAAACGGAAAAGAAGGGAAAAAGAGAAAAAATATATATACATGTATTATCAAATGACCGGATGTATTGTAGCGTCTAGTCTTCTCGAACGTAATTTCAATGAAGAAATGAATTGAATAAACACATATATATTTTTCTTTTATCAATAATTTTGTAGTTTTTAAAATTAATAGTGATTAAATTTGGATTTTAAAAATTGCCAGTTTTTAATTTCAATATTAAATTCTATCATGTAAATTTATAATTATTAGTTAGTATAAATTATTTTTAATATTACACGTATTTAAAGATATGAATAGCTATTAGAGCAGGATTTCGTTGTCAAGCTTTTGAATCTTTCTATACTTCGTTTTTGATTGGTTATTCTAGCTTTTGTAACAATGTTTCCCCCCAGTGTAGGATCGTTAATTAATCTGAAACTTTTAAAACCATTTATTTTCTTTTCAACATCATCACTTGATAAGACACAGAGTGTGTTGAAACAAAATGGCTATTTTTGTAGTGATTTTATAACATACTTATGTTATAATTTTTTTATAAAATAATTATATATATATATATATATATATATATATATATATATATATATATATATATATATATCAATTAATTGAATTTAAATATAAGTCAGAGAACCTTAAGGGTCCACTGGCTATAATTTATTTAATTAATAAAAATCTATCACTTAATTATTTAATATATATTTTTGTAGATACAATTTATTTAAGTAAATGCTCTGGTTTTAATTAAACAGTATTAATTACATTTACCTGTCTGACTGTACGAGAAATTTCCTAGAAAATATGCATTCTATTACAATGGTTGTGGTATGATTAAATAAAATATCATTACCTCAGAAAGTATCTTGACGTATATAATTAATGTGTACGAATATTTAATCTATATTATAAACAATAAAAAGAAACTAAAAGAAAAATATATCAATAAAATAAAAAACGCAATCATTTTGTGCGTCCCCGTTGCACATGACGTCACTTTCGACCATTTCAAACGTCCAGGTTCCCAAAGAAAACCAAGATATAGACAAAAGAACATATAACTACCACGTAGACATCACATCGTTTCTTGATAATGACTGCGAAAGTCTCAACAACTTATCCTAAAAGTGAAAAAATTAAACAGAGAGACTTGGTCGGTTCCTTTTAATCAAACGTGTTTGTAAATAACTGACTGATGCCAAATCGGTCGGAGAGGAAGGGATGATTTTATAAACAGTGGCTGTTGCTGCTAATGCAAGGCTCTTCAACTAGAATCGAGCTTTCCTATCCATGACATCTGTAGTATAGTAAAAAAAGTTAAGATTTCCCTTATTCTCTACCGTTTGACGACAGCTTGCGGGCAGAGTCTCTGACTGATGACAAATTGGTAGGGTTTCGATCCCGGCTTGACGCGATCGGATGTCTAGCCACACTGATGAGCTGTGATACAGCGAAACAGGCTGCCTATGGATGACTATATATATATATATATATATATATATATATATATATATATATATATCACGTCTATGAGAGGGTGACTGAAGTTGGGTTACTGCCTTTTCTACAAATACTTTCACGGCAACTGTTCTGAATTTAAGCGCGCTACTACATTGGTATCTAGGTCTCATCCTTTCACAGTTGAAATAGTAAAATGCAACCACCGCTTCGACTCCAGTTTATTTTATCGCACTTCCCGACAGTGGAACTCCCTTCCTCTTACTTTATTCCTTTTAATTTATTTAATTTTTGAAGATTGTAGTAAATCTTCAAAAATTTACTTGCAACGTCAATCGCAATCTTTCGTTGCAATGATTTCCGTTCTTCTTTTATCCTTTCCTCAATCCCTTCGAAACATAGACTTTTTCCGTCACTTTTACTCTCTGTAACACCCTACGTGCTAGTGGCTTTCCGTCCTTGCTCTGGGTGAAATGCTTAATCTATCTATCTATCTATCTATCTATCTATCTATCTATCTATCTATCTATGTCAATATAAGCTAAATATTAAAGGAGCAATGTACAGATAAAAACAACTGTAATAAATGGCTTATTTGCTTTTTGTGCATGACGACTTAGGAAACCATGAAACTTTAAGTTGCACTATAAACGTAGATGCATGTGCTTATATATATATATATATATATATATATATATATATATATATATATATATATATATATGATACTGAAGAGGTTAATGGTAAAAGTTGGTTTACACCGCTTTTAGATTTAAAATATTCGGAGACCAGTCGATTCCGCTACCTTGGTTTCAACCTTTCGGTATCGTCAGGCGGTTTGTATCAATTGATTTACCAACGCTTTATTTTTGAAAATATTGTTAATGAACGCCTTATTATTTAAAAAAAATAAACAAACGCAAGACACTGGGTAAGAGAAGAAGAAGAATTAGAATTAGAAGAAGAAGAAGAAGAAGAAGAAGAAGAAGAAGAAGAAGAAGAAGAAAGGTTATTGGAAATGCATCGGAGGTGGTTATTTCAAATGTACATTTTTTTTATCTAGCCTCATATGAACTTCAGAGGATATGTTTTTGCATGAATGCAATGGTTCATAATTTCGGATCTTTGATTCAAAAGGATTTTGGAACTGGAAATGTCATTATTGCTAATTTCTCTTGTTGGCAAAGGTTGAAGACGTTATGGTAGTTGTAAGGTTTCACCTTTTTTTATATATATATATATATATATATATATATATATATATATATATATATATATATATATGTGTGTGTGTGTGTGTGTGTGTGTATGACATAGAGAAAACGGGTCAGATACAGCACGCAATGCTTGTGACTCATTTTCACGATTCATGCGATTATCACTTTAGGCGTAATATATGTTAATTTTCTAAGCCTAGCTTAAATGTGACACAAGGCCGAAAATAGTAATTATTCAAGGGGAAAAACTTGTTAACCATTACACAACTTCGAGGCAGCCTATTAGTGTATAATATATATATATATATATATATATATATATATATATATATATAAACCTAGAGATCCAGGCAAAACCTACCAAGGTTTCACCTAAGCGGATCGTCAGGGAAGGCTGCCCTACTCATTTTATTGAGCACTTTATTCAGTTGTTCTGGGTACTCGCATCGGTTTTTTTTCTTTGGGCCTTGAATTTGTTCTTGATTCTTTTTTTTTATACCTTTTTTCCCTTTGGTGTTGGCTTGTTTATTTGCAAATCAATATACCGAAGGTTTTCGAGCGAGTATAATTTCTTATACTCATAAGATTTCTATTAAGAATAATATATATATATATATATATATATATATATATATATATATATATATTGAGTATTTAGGCAGCAATCCTTCATTTATAAATATTTCATTAATGACGACGGACAAAGAACTTCGATGAGGCTTTTTATTTAATTTTTCCATAAGTGTTTTCTTTTCTGGACACACAGTCTGTCCAAATGTTCTATACTTCCGAGCACTTACGTCTCTACCTTTTGCCAATATCCTGGATGATTTTATTTTAGCTGTTTATTTGGGTGTATGGATTTGTGTGTATGTTTTTAGAGTTATAGAGATGTTTTATTTTCCGAACACAGCACATTGTGGCAATGTTAGTATTTAATATTATTAAGTGTCGGCTTTTTCTTTTTTATTATTATGGCTCCTAATAATTTTATTATTTTTTTAAATGTGACTGAGGTTATTATGTTTGTATTATGTTTGTATTTTCTACTAGCTAGATAGATAGATAGATAGATAGATAGATGAACAGAGACATAGATAGATAGATAGATAGATAGATAGATAGATAGATAGATAGATAGATAGATAGGAGGAGGCGAGGCTCTTTTCAAGACACTAATAACTCTCCTTCTATGCGATCGCCACTGTAAATAACTGACTCGTTCAGGTCTTGACCATCATCGACATCGACAGACGAGAATACTAATCCGGAATTCGCGCTTGTGAGTCAAAGCCATGATATATATTTTGACTTTATAAAAAGTTAAAAAAAAAATGTCGCTGAAACGATCACTTGTCCTGAAGCTTAATTACAACGCTCTCGTTGGAGGGAGTCGTTTGTCTGCTCTTTGAATAAAGATTCACAATAGGTAACTGCTGACAAAGGTAAATGGATAAAAGCCGTATATTTATTCCCATTCTCAGGGTATTCTCTTATCTTAAGGCTAGCACTTCGTGTATAGAAAGTTTATCTAAATCTCGTGGAAAAAAGAAAAAAAAAAACTTATCATGAAACATGAATAGAAGTCTGAGAAAATGCCGCCGTTATTTGGGAAGGAAGATTGACAAATAATGCTGTTGGGGAAAATTAACTGAACCAAAAAGCAAAACATACCGTGTCTCTTTAATAAAACCACATTTTTTTTTCGCTGGAAAATGCTACCCTGCAAAAATGGTTGCAGATTACATTTGATGGAAACTAAAAGACACAGACATTCCTGCTCATGATCTTCTCGAATTCCCTTGGACATTTTTAGAGCCAGGCTGGTTGATATTTCACTTTATTTTTAGAAAATCATTATTGAATGCAGTACAAAAGATGAGGATTGATGTTGAGCATATAGTTTCAAAGATCGTCTGAAAAAACTGCCTTCAAAGTTTTACTATTTCAAGAATAAATCCAAAGGAATTTGATATATTTTACATTAGATACAGTGGAAACCAGATTAAAACCAGAATTGTAATTATGAATCACCAGAAGCAATTTACGCTGTTTTGTGCTGTATTAAATAAGCAGAAACTGAAAATAATTGTAAAAGATTACGGAAATAATCTGAATAACTCTAATCTGAATAAGATTAGTTAGATCATTTGTCAGATCATAATGAATAAAAAAAACTAGATATAAGTGTACATAACACCATTATACTGCTGGGCCCACATTACAAGACAAAAGGTTTTAAATTTGCATTGTTTATTGAAAATCACACTAAAATTACTGCATTATATAAAATATTACATCATAATTTAGCTAAAGTGCCGAGTATAATTTCACTTTGAAGTAACTGTAGATTTTTTTTATGGCAAAATGATTCAATAATAATGTGTTTGCGCCATGCATTTTGTCCATATAAAATTTGTAAAACTATAGTGAATTATATATTTTATAAGGCCGTGCTTTAAGTCTTTCACTGATCACCGGAATGAAATTCCAACGCTACGATTTTGAACATGAACTTAATAATTGAATTTGTTTCCACAAAAAAGTTTAACGATTTGGAAAGAAATATTTTATATCTTAATTTATTATGTCAAACCTCAGCGTTGAAATTGAGCAAAATACCAGTGTTCCAAAATCGACCTGTCTAGTGTTTATTGATTAATTCGTTTTCTACAGCTTATCAACAATTTGCAAGTTATTTAAACCCAGCAAAAAATCCTTTATATTGTAAGATTTGTGTGTGTGTGTGTGTGTTAGGGGGGGGCAATGATCGATTGCTACAAGTCCTACAAATTGACCCATAGCTGGATGAAGAAGAGGTGGATCCATACCTTTTCATTTTAATGAAGTCTTAGAGAAAGTCATAAAATATTGTGGCTAGATTAACGGTTCACGCCACAGCGAACGAAATCTTCGAAAAGCGTCCAAATTCTGAGCACTTCAGTTTGAGTAAATCCAGTATATTTAAAATTTTTACTCCACTTACTTCGAGACACTGTAAAAACCATTAACTCTGAACTCCAAAATATGGCTGATTCGTTTTTTAACGGCTTATCAACACTTTGCAGGTTATTTAAAGCCAGAGTATACTTTTTAGGTTGTAAGAATTTACTTTTTGAGATAATAATGGCTTAGTGGTACAATTCTTACTAATTAACCTCGAGTTAGAGGGAGGTGAGGTGGATTCAAACCTTTCCCAAGGGTATTTGTACGTAAGTGAATATAGCGGACGCAACTGTAATTGCAACTCGGCCCTCTGATTAACAATTCTGAACAATTCTCCATTAGACATCCAAACTCACACCTCCTGGTATTCCCTAGCGGTCACCCATTTATGTTTTGAACAGGTTCGACGTTGCTTAACTTTTGCAAAAGGACATAGCCGTAAGCCAAACGGTGTCCACTATTTTAGTAAAAAAGAAAATACTCATTTCCCTTTTCCTTTCTTACCATATTGATTAACTGCACTTTATTTGTCTGTCTCTATTTCTAAGATGAGGCATTGTAATTATTTATATTATTTACATTGTTCGGACTGTTGTCCTCATCTTTATTGTCATGTTCACGACGTTTCGGTCGTTGTACGCTCTGGCCTTCTTCAGGTGACTGGAATTTGTGGGTTCAATACCTGGCTACTGCAGTGTCAAAAAAAAAAAAAAAAAAGAAAAAAGGAGAGTTGTGTTAAAGGGAGATAACTGAGACATCCGGGACAGGCATGGGACGTGGAACTATAACAATCTACCCCGGTGGCCAAAATAAATGGTTCCGTTTTCGAAATTCCAATCACCTGAAGAAGGCCGAAGCGTACAACAGTCGAAACTTCGTGAACATGACAACAAAGATGAGGACAACAGTCCGAACAATGCAAGTAGTGCTCTTTTTTTTGTGAATATATGCCTTTGATTCTGAAGGCTTTATTGATGTGGACTTGAGCCAAACTTGATACAGTTCAAGAGTTTACGTTCGTGCAAAAGTTGTTAATAACATCTTTATCAGCTTTCTTTTTGAATAGCTTTCGTTGTTAAGGTTTTTCTTTATGTTGAATACATAAGTATTTGTGATAGAGCGAAAGATTGGTGGCCGCGAGAAATATGAGGCGCAACTCAGTGACCGATGATTGACAGTAAAGAAGGACGGAGAACATATGGAGAAAATCTCATCCTTCTAATGTGATTATCAACAAGAGAAATGAGACGGTGATAGATAAATAATACCAGCTGCAAAGATAAGGGAAGATCAGTCGTTAAGAGAAGAAGTGCAGTAAAGAGGCGCCGATGATAGCAATAACGAGAAACTGGAACGAGCGAAAGAAAATGCGAAAGAATGTGAAATAGAAAGATAAAAAGAGTATTGATAAGAAATGTTGAGAAATGGTGAGTTCGACCGATGAATTCTGTGTAGAATAAAAGAGCACAGCCTCAATATGGGGAAGTGAGAGGCGAACAATGATAAGGAGGAAGAGGAATAAAGGGAAATAGAAGAGGAGGTGGAGGAGGACGTGGACGAAAAAGGAGTCGTGGACGAGGAAATTGGGAGAGAATGGAGGAGGAGAAGACGATGACGACGAGGGAACAGAAGAGGACAAGAATAAGAAGTAGAAGAAGAAGAAGAAGAAGAAGAAGAAAAAGAGGAAGAAGAAGAAGATGACGAAAGAGACGACAATAAAGAAGAGGTACAATGAAAGGCGGTGAAGAAGAAGAAGAAGAAGAAGAAGAAGAAGAAGAAGAAGAAGAAAATGACGAAAGAGACGACGATGAAGAATAGGTACAATGAAAGAAGAAGAAGAAAAAAAGAAGATGATGATGACGATGATGATGATGAATACGACAAAAAAAAAAGAAGGTGACTAGAAGAAGAAGAAGAAGAAGAAGAAGAAGAAGAAGAAGAAGAAGAAGAAGAAGAAAATGACGAAAGAGACGACGATGAAGAAGAAGATTAACAATTAAATAAAGAATGGGAGGAGAAGAAGAAAAGGAGGAAGATGAGAAGGATAATAAGAAAAGCAGACGAAGGAGGAGGAGAAGAGAGAAGAAGAATAAGAAGAAGAATAATAATGAGGAGGAGGTGGAAGAGAGGAGACGAATGAAGAATAAGTAGAAAAGGAGGAGGAGGAAAAGAGAAGAGATGATGAAGATGATGAGGAGGAATAGGTGACAAAAAAAAAGAAGAAAAAAAGAAGAAGAAGAAGAAGAAGAAGAAGAAGAAGAAGAAGAAGAAGAAGAAAATGACGAAAGAGACGACGATGAAGAATAGGTACAATGAAAGAAGAAGAAGAAAAAAAAGAAGATGATGATGACGATGATGATGATGAATACGACAAAAAAAAAAGAAGGTGACTAGAAGAAGAAGAAGAAGAAGAAGAAGAAGAAGAAGAAGAAGAAGAAGAAGAAGACAACGATGTGGGCGAAGAAGATTAACAGTTAGAATAAGTAGAATGGGAGGAGAAGAATAAAAGGAGGAAGAGGAGAAGGATAATAAGAAAAGCAGACGAAGGAGGAGGAGGAGAGATAGAGAGGATAAGAGGAGAATAATAATAATGAGGAGGAGGTGGAAGAGAGGAGAGGAAGTGAAGAATAAGTAGAAAAGGAGGAGGAGGAGGTGGAAGAGAAGAGTGGCGTAGAAGAATAAGTAGGAGGAATAGGTGTAGGAAGAGGAGGAGAAGAATAAAAAGAAGAAGAAGAAGAAGGAAAAGAAGAAGAAGAAGAAGATGATAGAAAAGAAAAATGAGAAGGAGGAGGAAGAGAGGAGAGGAGTAGGAGGAGAGAAGAAAAAGACGAATTTAGCAGTAGTGCAGTTGTGTCAGTAGTGGTAGCAGGAAAATGTCGGTAATGATGTGCAATTGATTAGTTCATTGTACACAATAGCTTGATTAGTTTAATAATTCCCTGGAGCTCCTCTCCAGTTTTAATGCCGAAATTAAAATCACCGGCGCATGCGCTTTACCTCTGTCGTACCACGTGACAATAATTTGATTCTGTTCACGCTGTTGCGTGAATTTACAGTTGGAAATTAGTTATTAGATGGGTTTTCCTTTCTTTCTTTTTTTTCTTTTCTTTTTAATTTGTACGTTTTCTTATTTTTGGTTTTGAAAATAAAGAACTTTGCAAAAAATAAAAAAAGATAAAAAAAAAATAAATCCGGGAAAGATGAGAAAAAGGAAAGGATGTGTGAGAAGCCGTGAGAGAGACTGATAGAAAGTTGAGAGAGAAAAACAGGAAACTGGTTCTGTGATGTTATATGGAAGGCGCATGAGCGCAAAACATGCATATACATCCTGAAGTTGATTGTGTGCAAACTTCAGATATCACCGAAGTATTTCAATTCGCAACTGTTTATTTTGAAGTAGTCACGCATTGAAACCTCAGTGCAGAAATAGATTCAAACATATACAACTCAAAAGATTGGGCGGCAACAAAAGTTCGTACGTTTCTGAAAAGGTAACATTAAAAACATAATTTGTTTTCCCACGTGACTCAGATTTATAACATATATTCATACTTCGGTGACTGCAGACTTTTCCATCCTGACAGCGAGAGCCCTCATCGCAGGAAAGGTCCTCCATTCTCTGTATCTCCACACACCAGCAACGTTTTCAACTCTTCTTTGTATTACTAATTCATTCTCTCACGATTACAGTATTTTTTATTACGAGACTGTTGAAATTTCTAAGACGCATAATAAGGAAACAAGAAAATTTAGCACTCACAAGACATTTTAAAGGCATAACTCACAGAAGAACTCAGCAAGCAAACTACCCAACAAGCTCGTATACATCCTTATGCAAATTAATTGAAACAACCGCTTTAGTTTTCTTTCTTTCACCATACGGTCAGTTTTAGACCCACTACAGTGACAGGGTGTAATCGATTTCTATTTTTCCTCAGATTAAAACATTTGCAATGATGTGCAGTAATATGAATTTATTTTCGGGGTGTATGATGAAATTTGTTTGGCCTTGAAAGATATTGCGTCAAACGAGATTGCATCAGATTTATATCACGCCCAGGCATTATTGTCTCAACTGTCTATTAGTTGTCCTACGGCTATTGTCTGCCATGGACGTTACTCCAAGGAAGCGTACGAAAAGTGTAACCCTGCATGAACACACTAGCAAGACTTACCGGTGAGCAAGTCTAAGTACTATAGACTGGCCAGGAAACTCTCCTGATTTAAATCCAGTCGATAATCTGTGGTCAATCTGCAAGGAACGATTTCGTGGAATGGATATACGAAGTACTAATACGTGTATTGGGTCATGTTTCATTGTTAAAATACGAAAAAGTAAATAATAATTATTTTTTTAAATTAATTTTGCACAAGAGTGTAAATGGATGAAAGAATATTAAATGGGAAGGATATTAATAAAAATCAGCAATTATTTCTAGCAGAGGATGTTGGGGAGGGCTATGATCGCCCACAGTTTGGAGTTTTCCTTCTTGCTTCAAATCGCTGGATTTGGTTTATTTGCCTTGATTTGGTGATCGAATCGAAGTTTACTGCCGCCATTCCTTTCTACTGGCACTTCACGTCTATGACCTTATCCTTGATCTTCATGGAAAATATTCCGAAACGGAAGTACCTAGATCGTGGCCTGCAGCCATATGTCCCAACTATTGTTCTATAACCTCGGGGCAGCCACGCACAAAATAGCGATTTGGGCATAAGCTTCTTGATGTGAATTTGTCTTCAGTTAGAGAGGACGGAAATAATCCCAAAGTAGACTGCAAGTGAAAATCAAACACTGTCGACATTAAATTGAAACAATCAACCGTGATTTGCCGATGGCTAATAAAGTCATGATTAATGGATGCAATTGTTGACAACCAGGAAAAGGACAATAAGATTACAGTTTAAAAAAAAAAAAAGTATCCCTGTATCGAGGGCGAAATTTAGCTTTATTAAAATGAAAGTGCAAACAAAATCTTTATTATAATTTTGAGATTGTATCATGTTATTTAAAACTAGGAACACACACACACACACATAAAGGCCTAGTGGATAAAAGTTCTGAGTTTAATACCTGGCCACAACAGACAGAATAAAAGTTTATAGAGTTGAGTTGCTAAAGGAAATTAACTGAATCTGAAATATCAAAGAACAAAAAAAAAAAAAATGAATGGTACGTGGAACATTATTTACATTATTCGGACTATTGTCCTCATCTTTGTATCATATCTATTACAACGTTTCGGCCGTTGTACGCTCCGGCCTTCTTCAGGTGGTTGGAATGTCGAACTGAACCCTTCAAGGACACATGGATAAAGGCGTTGGTTAGATCCAGTGACAGTACTCAAAGAGTGTGAGTTCAATACCCGGTTAAGGCAGTGGAGAACTTTCAGAAGGAATTTAACAGGAGATAACTGATAACTGACATCCATCAAACATGGCACGTCGAACTAGAACAGTCTACCCCAGTGAGTGAAATAAAGGGTTCAGTTCGACATTCCAACCACCTGAAGAAGGCCGGAGCCTACAACGACCAAAACGTTGTAATAAATATGGCGACAAAGATGAGGACAATAGTCCGAATAATGTAAATATGGTACGTAGAATTCGAACAATCTACCCCCGTGGAATAAATAACGGGTTCGGATTGAAATTCCATCGTATATCTCCTGAATAAAGCCGGTGGCGACAACGGCTGAAATGAATTAGGCACTTCGACGTGGTACATTGGTTAGCAAGCCTGTCTCTCTAGATCAATTACGTCTGAATAGTGAGTTCGATCCTCACTGGGTGCCACATACTTCCGGCCTTGTGCGACATCTAAGCTAAGTTTAGGAAATGATTTTGGCACTTCGACGTGGCGTAATGGTTAGCTAGCTTTTATCGCTAGATCAATTACAATTGAATAGTTTGTTCGATCAACACTGGGTACCCCATACTTCTGGCTTTGTGCCACATCTAAGCTACGCTTAGAAAATCATTGTGGACACTTCGATGTGGCGTAATAGTTAGCCAGCTTGTCTCGCCAGATCGATTACAATGAATAGTGAGTTCGATCAACACTGTGTTCCCCCATACATTCCTTCGTAGCCACCATCTATGCTACGCTTAGAAAATCATTTTGGTCACTTCGACGTTGTGTAATGGTTAGACAACTTGTCTCGCTAGATAAGTTACGAATGAATAGTGAGTTTGATCAACACTGGGTTCCCACATATATTCGCCCATGGGCAACATCTAAGCTAGGCTTAGAAAATCATTTTGAAAACTTCGAAGTGATGTAATTGTTAACCAGTTTGTCTCACTAGTTCAATTACGACTGAATAGCGATATACAAAGTATTTCGTTATTTAAAAGCGGTCAAATTTTTTTCCGTTATTTAAAAGCCGTCAAGAAGATGTCGGTATTGCTGAAAAACTGTCAGCAATAAAACATCGTTATTTTTTCTAATGCAATACAATGTCCTTTCAGGACGAAGGCGATCATGATTTTATTGATTTTGAAATGACATGCCCTTTTTCGATATATATTAAGAACAGTGAAATTAACATTCAATGTCAAAATGTTTTAAGACGAAAAAATGCAATTTTTATATATATGTGTGTGTGTGTGTGTCTATATATGTGTGTGTGTATATGTGTATATATATATATATTTATAGACACATTCCGCATGTTAATATGGAGGCACGGTGGAGTAGCGGCTCGGACTGAGGCTCTGAGAGCCGAGTTCGAATTCAAGTCGAATCCATTACATTCACTTATGTGCTAATACCCTTGTAAAAAGTATGAATCCTCTTCTTCTCCCTCCAGCTATGGGTAAATTAGCAGGACACACTGGGTTCTATAGCCTTGGATTGCAACTGGTCTAGGAGAAGGCAAACTCTGAATTCAAAACCTGCGGAAGGTTGTTAGGGGACCTTACGGAGCGTAGTGCCTCATGTCTCTGCACAAAGCCTTCACCACTATAATCAAATGATATGTGTTCGTGTCTGGCTGTTGGTTGACTTGCTAACCCTCCTGTGTCGAATACGACGGGAAAGTTCACCTATATATATATATATATATATATATATATATATATATATATATATATATATATATATATATAGTGTTAATAAAACGGTGCTCGATGTAATAAAACAAAGTTATTAAGTATATATTAAGAAATATACACATTACCTCTCACTGGTAGCATGACTCGGAATTTCATGCACAACACAATTTTCAGGTGAAGCGTACAGACTGACCGTTATGCAGTTTAAATTTTAACAAAGGTAACTGATTACCGCAATGTTGTGCGCAGTCCATATATTATACGTGGGTTACAATTTTTTATTTAAAAAAATATATTTGGAATTTAAAATAAACGGGTTTTATATATATGTATATGTAAAAAATATTGTAGAGTTGAGAATATTATTTCTTTATTTTAAGCATAAAGACAGTTTACTAGTCCGTTTAAAAAAAAACCCAAAGAAACCATAATTTGCATCAAAAAATAATCTGAATCAACGTATTTGAGTAGCTATTTATTTTTATTCCTACATGTAACCATCAATTCATTTCTCTTGTTTAATAAGCTCGGATTATTTGAGTGCTTTTTTCAGCAGGATATGACATATACCTGTTGCTTTTCCTATTGTAAGAATTGTCTTTAGCTACAATATCCCACGTAATAATGGCTGTATTACCAGCATTCTTTAATTGCGAGAAGTGTTTTAAGGGAGCGATGTTGTTTATGTATTCTATATTGCTTAAATTTATTCAATATATATATGATAAATTAACTGATTTAAAATATGTTTTTTGGCATTTTTTGCTACACATATGTAGCGAAAAAACATATTTTAAATCAGTTAATTTATAATATTAATGGTCTGTAAATTTACATTGAGCACTATTTTGTAAAAAATAAAAATATCATTAAGATCACCTGATTACATATCTTACTGATCTTTCCTTTTATTTAAAAACATACATACATACATATATATATATATATATATATATATATATATATTGAACACAAGTACACATCAAGTGCTTCAGACCAGCTGAGCGCCGTGCTTCATCAAAGTTTTGGCTCATTAAGCTCAGTACCTCTCCACACGGATTACATATCTTACTGTTCTTTCTTTTATTTAAATATACATACATACATACATACATATATATATATATATATATATATATATATATATATATATATATATATATATATATATATATATATATATAAATGAGAAAATATCGATTAAAGATATGTTATATTTATGGATTAAAGTTTTCAATATCAGGGAATGAGCGTATGCAATATTGAGGTGGACACTGAAGTCAACATCCAGAGGCGACAGTCTGTTGCATATATAAGCACAATCGTCAGGCCATACAGATCGGGTTTTAATTCGACTATTTATATATACATTCGGTAATGAATTCTGGGTAGTCTATTGTACTATTCTAACTAATCTGCATAATGTTTATTCGATACGTTTAAAGATAGATTTATTTAACCCCAAACCCCCAACCCGAAAATGGTCTCAAATGAGATGGAAATGAGATAAAAATTATTTGAAAGAAAATTCTGGTATTTTTCTTAATCAATTTTAAACGGCTACAAGAAACTGATTTCTGGACTTGAAAGAATTAAAACAAAAAATGAACACACATAGTATGTATAAATTCTTTAACCAGACCTGTTTGAATAATTATATATCCCGGCGGGTGACACCTTTGAAATGTGCCTGAAAACCATACCACGGTTGAACCAAGCCTTTTGAGTGAAATTGGGTAGACAGAACTCTTGGGGGCCGTCGGTAGCTCTGCTAGCACAAAGCCACAAGTCATCGTGGCCGAGGGTTTAAGCGCGATAGCCTTGTTCAAATTGTTGATCACGCTAGATAACACGCTCTTTCCCAGAAACTGTAATTAATGTCTGCTCAGCATAGTTGCAGTATAAATTAGAGGTGGGCTCTGTGGGTGTTGAGCAAACACAAATGTCCCTGAATGAACGCCTGCAATAGAGATTGGCTAGCCGCCCTAATAGACGGATATTCTTGAATACTGGGTGTTCAGCTATTACACACACACACACACACACACACACACACACACATATATATATATATATATATGTGTGTGTGTGTGTGTGTGTGTGTGTGATCTCTGTGTGTGCAGCTGTCTGAATACACACTTACAAGAAGCTTCTGGTCACTTCAACGTGGTGTAATAGTTAACAATCAAGATCAGTTACTACTGAATAGCGAGTTCGATCGTCACTGGGTACCCCATACTTCCGCTTTGTGCGACACTAAGCTACGGTTAGAGAATCACCATATATGTAGGTTCAGAGGTAAAGAAGTTGCCAGTCCCACGCGCAGTAGATTTTGCATTCGGAGTTGTCCTTTAAACGCGTTGCTAACCATATCTAGAAAACCTGGCTTCTCTTCTGTTAAACTCATAGCCATGTGATTGAACTCATAGATTGGCTAATGGTATTTGTGTGAAAGTGTTTTGATGTAATTGAATAACCTGTCAAATCCATGAGTGACTACACTATAGGTGTAGTCACTCATGTGGCTATATGTAAGTCAACAGACTACAGAACCTACCCAAAATCTTTTCAGCTAGACGGTCGAACTCTCTACCTCTGAGCAGAGAGGAACCCGGACGATGCTCAGCCTTGTGCCGCATCTACCCTTATAGGGGCGGCTAGTAAATATTGACTAGCTGGAATCTTTTCCAGCTGTGCTGGTCAAACTCTCTGCCTCCGAGCAGAGAGAATAGCCAGACGAAGCTATGCCGAAGGACAGGGTCTCGTCTCGGGAAACAGCTACCCGACGCCGTTTTACAGGGTTTCTACGGAAACTTTTTGCTGAGCCTACGGGCTCGGTTGCCCCACATTAAATTCGGCCTTGTGCCACATCTGATCGCGTGGGGAGGTTAGTAAATTCACTAGCTGGGATCTGTTACTCATCTCTTAGCTGTTATCGAACTCTCTACCTTCAGGCAGGGAGGAACCCCGTACAAGGCTATGCCGAAGGGCAGAGTCTCGCCCGTGAAGGTAGACCGACCCGAAACCGTTTATGCGGGGTTTACGGGGAATTTTTGGCCGAGCTAACGGGCTCGAATTGTCTCATTAAATTCGGCCTTGTGCCACATCCTATTCCGTGGGGAGGTTGGTAAATATACTAGCTGGTATCTGTTGGGTACGACTCAGACTTACGCGGGAACTACGGACCTTCCAATAGTAGCACTCACTACTGGATTGACTTGCGACGACCTTGTGCATAACTGTTACCTTTATTTTTGTTCTACTGATTTTGTTTTTACAGTAAACCTTTACTTTTTTTTTATCCACCATGTTTTTCATGTATATATTCCTATTAGCACGGAATATAACATGTTTCTAACAAATTCGGTCGTGCTGGAACATGGCACACCGACTCGACTTTCCGCGTTGACAACCACAGCGTTATGTACACATCTCGATGCCGAGACTTGTATGTTAAAATTTAAATTCGTGTAGTATGCTTAAAGCATTCAGAGGCCTATTCCAGATTGAAGTTTAAGATATTGTTTCTTAAACAGGCTGTTAAATTCAAGCCTGTACGTTAATACACTTATAAAATCAATTCAATCTGCCCATTCTGAAAGGTGTGAAAGTGTTTATTTTTAAGGTTTCGTCAATAAATTTACCTTTACTTTTACGAGTGAAGCTTTCTCTGAGACTTATCGGGGATAGTGCGTAGTAAAACCATTCGTCCGAACACTCCGTTTTCAGATTCACCATCATGGCTTAGGGAAAATAAAACCTTGCAGGCCATACCTTTTACACAAAATTTGATTGTGTCTCCTTGACTTGACTGATTTCAACCCAACACCATTATGACCAACTAAAGCATTTGATTATCGAACTTGATTATACTCTCGCGTTCCAAGAATGTCGATCTTATTTGATCATCGCTTAAACAGCCGACTGTTTTTATTTCTTTTTTTCTCGTCCGATTAATTTCTTTCTTTCTTTCTTTCTTTCTTTCTTTCTTTCTTTCTTTCATTCATTGATTCTTTTTGTCTTTAAATTACCTTATAATGAACATTAGATTCGTTTTCTTCATTCCATCCGTCTATTCTCACGCATATCTTCTTTCATTGACTGATTCTTTCTTTCTTTCTTTCTTTCTTTCAATAAATAGTATTACACTGTTTTTTCATTCTTCATCCAAACCTTCCATCTATTCAGATTTATATTTTATTTCTTTGTTTGTTTGTTTCTTTAAATAAGAATATCTTTCCTTTTCTTCATTCCTCATCGAATCCATCTATTTTCAAATATATTTTCTTTCTTTCTTTCTTTCTTTCTTTCTTTCTTTCTTTCTTTCTTTCTTTCTTTCTTTAAATTACCTCATAATAAATAACATTACACTGTTTCCTTTTCTTCATTCTCTTCCAATCCATCCATCCACCCTCACGCATATTTTCTTTCTTTCTTTCTTTCTTTCTTTCTTTCTTTCTTTCTTTCTTTCTTTGCAACCAGGCTTATCCTTTTACTATTCTTTACTTTCATTTTCTTTCTACTATTGTTTTATTCCCCGATTATTTTTCTTTTCCTTTATCTTATTCTTCGAGTATTCCATTCAATTTTGACTCTATATTATTATTATTATTATTATTATTATTATTATTATTCACATCGTTTGACATATTTTCTTTTCAATTTTGTAATCGATTTTTATTTATTATTTTGTCGTTTCTTTTTCCTTTTTCCTGTTTCTTTTTTACAGCATTCTTATTTTTTTTTTCCTATTCATTTATCTTTAACGTAATATCACCCCCGTCTTTCTTTCTTTCTTCCTTCCTTTAAAGTACCTTATGATAAATACTATTTCAATGTTTCCTTTTCTTCATTCTTCCTCGAATCCATCCATCCTCTCGTAAATCTTCTTCTTTTCTTTCTTTCTTTCTTTCTTTCTTTCTTTCTTTCTTTCTTTCTCATTCAATATTTTCCTTTTCAGTCTCTTAATCTAAAACTTCATTCCATTTATCATTCAACTTAGTTTAAATCTTTATCCGAAGACACGTCTTTGAACTTTACATTTCTCTTAAGGAATTACACTTAATCGAGAGGCCAATCTTTTATTTGAGTTCATGTGTAGACGGAAGCGTCCATTTTAGTTTGTTTGTTTAGCGGCATATCAACTCCTTATGGGTCATTTAAAGCTGAAATTAAATTTTCTTGGGTGTATTAGTAATTTTCTTTACAAAAATGTAATGCTAATAATTTTTTTTAAATGTATTGCTTTTTTATTTTTTACAAAAATTTATTGTTGCTAATTTTTTTACTCTGAAAATGTATTGTTGGTATTTTTACTATAAAAATGTATTATTATACTTTCATAGTGTTTTGATCCCAGTTTGGAGGTTAATTATTTACCCATAAATATGGTGGTCAGTGTGGGTATTGGAACAACAGCAATTAAGCGGTGATTGTCACGCTCCTTAAAAACCTGCAATTTCCTGATCAGAAGCATTGCTGCCATGTAGTTCATCGTCATACACAGGACGTTCCATTTTAGTCATTTCAGAATATGTAATGTTATCAACAAAAATATATTGAACTCATTCACAAAATAATAAAATATGTGTCGAATCAGTACAACAAGGATTCTACATCAACTGAT